AGTGACCAGGGTGGAGTCAGCCCAGAAGGTGCTAAGTGATGGGGTCCTGCTCACCAGCTGCAGATGCTCGGCTGGCTGCTTGTATAAGTAGTCGGCCAAGTCCTCGTCAAAGCTGGCCAGATCCTCCATCTCCACCTCAATCCAGTACTCGCCCAGGTTGTAATGCCGCTTGAGTTCATCCCTGGAGTACGCAGGTAGGCACAGTGGGATGGGGAAGGGTGCAAAGAGGAAAATAACATTGGTTGAGTGTGCACCTGCACCCTCAAATCTGCACACACCACTGCCTCCACAGCCCCACCTCTTCCCAAACACACATCTATTAATAATCTCAGAATTTGACCCTTCAGAGACTCCCTACTGCTGACAAATGCATCCCTCAAGGAAGCTCCGTGGAATCAGTCCACCGGATAGTCAGAGGACGTTGCAATACTCAGACATGGTTTTGCATATAGGTCAGGGTGGGGACAATCGATACAAACTAGTTTCTTCACTGCAGCACTTCTCAGAGCCTTTACCCTTGGAGACCAACAAGGCACACTTCAAACTTGGAGGCTCCCAGCAGCAGAGACTGTGTCCTGTCAACCACCAGACTCAGTTTTTACAGAGAATCCAATGGGACTCCTGTCCCCAAAAAGCACTCAGGGACAAATGACCTATGCACAACCTGTTCCCCAGCCTCAATCTCCATCTCCTTGTACCTGATGCCCAGGAAAAAATAAAATGGCCCATCTGGCCCTGAAAGCCACTTGTAAAACACCCCATTCCTCTGCACAAACAGCTGCTCCTACTTAGAATGGCTTCCACACGCAACTTTTCCTTCAGCTCGAGTCTCCTCACTTGAGCTCCTCTGGAAGCCTTCCCTAACCTGTTACCTTCTTCCATTGAGGCAACTATGGGCATGTATTTCTTGGTCACTGCGCCTCGCTCCTCTGACTTAGGAGCATCTTGAGGGCAAGAAATGTGTCTCTCTTCACCTTTGCATCTCAGTGCTCAGCACACAGGTGGTCAATGTCAGCTGCAGCATGAATAAAGAGAGGCAGAAGTGGCTTTATACATTTTATTGTATAAACTGAGGCCCAAGGAGACTGACGCTTCAAGTCACTTAGCTAAAATTTGGTCAGGCCAAATTCTGAGCCTGCAAACTCATGTTCCCTGCATTTTAAGGTCTCAGGTATAAAAGGGGTTTATAAGGAATCCAGATGCTGTCACAAACTACCACCAGGGACCTTGTCCAGCTAGTTAACTGCTGCAGCCCAGCACCTGGCACGGTGCCTGGCATGCACAGGTGCTCAATCAGTGAACATGCAAGGCTGGAGTGAAGAAATGAACAAGCACCCGTTACCCTTTACACTCGGAGGGAACCTAGGTTCACGGGGACCACGGACGGCGCACACAACAGCAGGAAGCACAAGTGGCTCTGGCTGGGTTGTCACGGCCCACTCAACAGGTGGGTCACTCAGGTAGAAAATAAACACTGCGGCCATGGGGCGAGGGGCCCGCACGAGCCCTGTGACTCCCCGCGGGCTCCCCGTTCTGGCCCGGCCTGCAG